TCCTCCTCCTCCTCCTCCTCCTCCTCCTCCTCCTCCTCCTCCTCCTCTTCTTTCTAAGAGAAGGAAATTGGAAATTCGGAGATGAGGGAGGGCTGTGGAGGGTTGTTTTGTTTGTTTGTTTTCTCCTGGCTATGAAGTTTACCTTCCCACAGAGGGAGCAACTCACAGCAGCACAACTCAGAGCTCAGACAGGGGGGGGGGGCAGTCAGAAGAAAATGCGGGGACATTTTGAAGTAATATTCAGAAATAACCAGAAACTGGTATTGGAGTCCTCCCTCCCTTCTTTGCCCTGGCGATTCTCCTTCAGCAGGAGACCTCCATTCTTAAAGCCATGAAAACCCAATGTGACTGAGATATCAACATGAAGACTTCCATTAGTCAAGCAGCCGTGTTTGTTAGAAGAGAGGATGGGAACATAGTAAAATCAACACACTTTAGCATCGGAACATGGGCTTGAGCTGTGCAGGAAACACACGTGAGGGTGCTCCAGAAGAGGCCTTGCTCACAGAAGCCCTCTGACAGAGGAAAAGCCAGCTCGGGCACAATCCCAAGCCCTGCAGTTGTCTTTAAAGGGCAGGCTCCTTGATGCTGTAGCAGTTAGAAAGCCCACCTTCTGCCAGCTGACCAGCCACCGTCCGGCTCTCCTTTCCTCTGTATGATGTACCCAGTAGGTCCATCACATGCTGGGGGGGTGGGGAGGGGAGGTCCAGGGATCCATGTGAACCATTCTGTCTCCCTGGAAACATTCCTGTTCACTTTTATAATTTGTACCTTATGCTGATTATAAACAATTCAAAAATACAGAAAAGTATAAAGGCTAAAAGAATATCTTTTTGCCCCACAGATTCTAAAGATAGCCATAATTTTTCTAAGTTGTGTATATGTGCATACAATTGTGTGCATGCACATATGCGCACACACATGCAAAACGAAGCTCCCACAAGCTGAGAGAGTTCTGAACCATGAGTAAAAATGACCCTTTCCTCCCCATGAGGTGTTTACATCAAGTCTTTGTCCCCGAGCCAACAACCTGACTAATGTTATGCACGTCACATATATTTATACATATTGCTGGTTGTGTCTTTGGTTACACACTGTCTTCTGCCAGTGTATAGAATGAGTACATTATACTTGTTATATCTTATAATTTTATGTGGATAAATATCTTAGACTGTTTCCTAATTGAATTTTCTGCACAGAGGAGGATGGAGAGACTAGGCAGAGGATAGAGAGGAGTGAAGGTTGGAGCATCCAAAATAAGATTTTTCTAATTTTACTACCCAGGGTGAGAGACACACCCATCCCTGCAAACTTTGCTTCTTATAGCCCATGTCAGTAGAATTAAAAGATTCCTCACTGCTCTTCTCCCCAAATGTCTCTATTTTTAGACTTTAAATGTAGACAAGTGTGGAAATCCTATCTCACTTCAGCATGAATAGATTTTTTTTCCCTGTCTCTCTCCAGCCCCTCCCATTGCCCTGTAGCTGTTCTCTGTTGTCATGCCTATCTATTCTCAAATTCTGCCCCACTTACTCCAGTCCACATTCCTAGGATATCTCCCATGTTCCCTCAGCAGGATGGGTCACTGGTCCCTAGTTCTTCAGCTTTCTTCTGGGTTACTTTTCCACACTTCCCGTGAAGCATTTTTCTTAAATGTGATGACGCTGTGGCTGTCTGAATACCTCTGCTGCTAGAGAGAGAGAGGGTCCAAGCTGTTAGGTACACATCAGTAAGCAGCTCCAGAGAGAGGAAGGAGACACCTAGACCAGGCCATGTGTAGGAAAGGAGATTTATTTGTGTGGTCTAAGAAGACCAGATGGCCAGAGCAAGAGACCAGCCAGGTCAGTGTTGGAATGATATGGCACATCCTAGTGAAAGACAGCCTAGTGGGAAAAGAAAGAAAGAGACTTCTAAGATGAAAACAGTATCATTCCAAAACTTTGCCAAGACTGAAGTAGGACGAGGAAACAACTTCTTTTGATTCATTCCACTGAGTATCAGGTAAACACTGGTACTGCTCTAGACACAGGGGTTTGGAGTAGTGGGCTTCCGTTCTTACGGAGAAGGCAGATGATAAATCATCAGACAGCTAATCAAGAAGTAATGATAAGTGTCGAATGGAGTAATTAGAAGTTCTGTGGGGCACAGGGAGTTCCAGGGTACAGAGAGGTTGTCCTTTTGGACAGGAGCTGATGTGGAGACATCTAAAAAGAAAAATCTAGAGAAAAATTCGAGATTGAAGCTTCCAGTATAGACAACTGAACAATGACTGGTGGCAAGGCCAGGAATTAGGAAAGGAAAGAAGATTCAGATAAAATGGTGGGCACAGGAGCAAAGATGCTAGCTCTGGAAATTCTAGGTCTGAGGCATAGGAGGCATCGTCCAATGGCTGTGTGAAAGACACAGAAGATACTACTTCAGTATTTAAGATATGCACAGAGGGGGTAGAGAAGGACTACATCAAGGGAAAGGAAATGAAACATGTTACAAAACCAAAAGGAAACAGAAACTTCTGAAGTGGTTAAAAAAAAAAAGATAGTTTAAAGGACCTTCTTGGATTTGGCCATTCAGAAGATCTTTGTGGCTCGGAGAGAGCCAATTCTTGGAGAGATAGGGAAAGAGATGACTGTGTTCTCAGGATAAAAGGACAAGGAGGAAGGAGGAGTCAGGGAAGTGGGGCATCCTTCCAGCTGTGAGTGATCTGACCAAAAGGGAAGCAAGTTTGAGGGAGAAGGACGCTTGAGAGGGGGTGTTCCTCACCCCTGCTTTATTATTATTGCATCCTTGGTTTACAGAACTAGGGATGGAACAGTCGTGTGCATTCTAGGAAAATGTTCGACACCTGAGCTGCACCCCAACTCTCTCTGCTTCTCTTTTGTATTTTCATGGAGTTCTTATCTGGTTAGAAAGTGAAGTAAGTCAGTTGTCAATTCCTGCTCACAACCTCTGAGGTTTTGTACACTAACTCAATATAAGACTGTTTTTGATAAATGAACTTGGTCTAGGTTCTTGTATAGTGTCTCCATTTAGGCCTGTTGTCTCCTATTTTTATCAATAAGCAGGATCTCAAATAGGATCCCAGGATTCCTAGCTACCCTAGGATTTCCCTTTCATATTGAAATAAAATGCATTCCAAGAAGCACAGCAGCTTAAGACCCATGTAAGAAGTGACCCGGTGCTAAAACAAGATAGAAAAAAAAAATGTGCCCAGAGCGCTGAGGACGATCCTGGAAAGTATTAGGACCAAGGGATAAAATGGAGTCCATAAATCTAGAGGGAGAGTTACTAGGGAGCCCTCGGCCTTCTCTTTCTCATAGTTTTGAGCTCTGTTGAAGGGTGGGGTGGAAACAACCTCCTTCTCTCCCTGTTCAAGGCTTAGCCAGGCTCTGATTAAGGAGTTCTGGGTGCTCACCAGTAATTCCAGATGACTGGTACTGTGAACTGGCAAAGCAAAGGACTAAGACGGGAATCGACCCAGAAGGATGGTTTCTCTATATGCTGCACACTGCACAACTTCAAAGCCTGCCTGTCAAATCCCACTCATCATATATTAATATACTTTGTATGACAATTTTCTCTGGCACCCAATTGAAGTGATGTGTTGAGGAAGGAGTGCTGTTTTCTTCTGCTCGGCTTCTTATTGTGGAAGGAAGAGCAATATAGAGAGTGCTTTGGAGATGAACTTCTGCCTGGGAAGAGACAGAAGACAGGTTGGAAAGAGAGCAAAGCCATATCAAGGCATTACACTGCCCTGTAAGGGCTCCAACATTGTTGTGCAAGCCTCACACTTAACAGTCAGTCATCAGACTCAGGCCATCTCTGGAATGTGATCTTCAGCTGTGAGCAATATCCAAGGGACAGCTGGAAGAAGAGGGCATCCTCTGAACCTGTGGGGAAAGTCCAGGCTGCCTGGAATAATGCCTGCTACCAAGGGTTTATCTGTAAAGAAAAGTGTCAAGTTTGAGAACGCTAAAACTTTCCTTCTCTCTAGTGGTAAAAATTCAAATGTACATAGCAGTTTGTTTTGTTTTAACACGATTAGTTCTTGACACTGGGTATGGTTATACAAGTATCACCAGCACAATCCCCAGAAATTGTTCGTCTTCCTCTGCTGAAATCTTTGTGACACACCAACTCCATCTGCCACTCTAGCCCCTGGCAACCACAGTCCATGTGCTGCCCCCATGAAGTCTCTTGTAGGGAATAATGTGAGAAGGATCATACAATATGTATCCTTTCATGCCTGTCCTGTTTCGCTTAGCATCATGTTTCCAGGATTCGCCCATGTTATAGCACACGTCAGTTTCTTGCCTTTCTGGGGCTGAATAGTATTATGCATGCTATCTTTACTTCACCT